GCTGCTTCTTATTGTGGGCTCACTAAATGCAAAATAAAACAGACCCTCCAAAACAAAGGCTTCCGGTCTCCAAGCTAAAATGCAATTCCAACAACTATTTTACCACTCAGAAGCTTTGAAATATCTTAACCAAATTGTCTTCCGGTTTAAGATTTGTGTTCTTTTTTTTAACACAAAGATACTAAATTAAGGCCAGGCAGATTCTAATAGTCTTTCTCAGATGGCTTCCAAATCTCCATGACACCATCTCTACCTTTCTGTTTGCTCTTTGTGTGGCTTCCTAATCGTGAGTGGGTCCCAGCTCTCTTGCCTCTATTATTACTAGTGCTATGATGTTAGCATCATTAATTGTCATGTCATTATCTCTCTCCTCAAAACGTTTCATTTGAGCATTTAAAACAATCAGATATTTGTGTGCTATGCTTTGGTTACTATTGTTGCCATTTGCCCTTTCATTATTCCAAAGGTGAGGGGTCTCTCTCATTGCTTTGCCCTTTCCAGGTTGTAACCTAGTAATCCTTGTTTAATCTACACATTGGTTTGGAAATGTAGGAAAACGAAGAAATGAACTTTGGAATAGACTTAGAAATAAGAGACATGAACTTGGTTTTAAGATGTCTAAGACATGGGGCATGGTTTAGAGATTCCCAAGACGAAAGTGAAAGAAATCAATTTAGTGATGGGAGGAATTTTATTCTATTGAAGTAAGAGGGAAAGACAGAGGGAAATGAGAGAAGGGCTTTTTTGGAACCACTTGATTTTGTACAGAGCAGGAAAATTATCTACTCTTTGCACCTCCCCCACCACCATATGCTTCCTTAAAGTTTCCTTTTTCTGTACTTGAAAGGACCACAGAGTTTAATAATTATTCATGCATTTGAAGTGCTAAGCTATACCAAGCTTCCTCTGTTTTTGCATTTATCATGAGCAGTAGTAAAAAAAAATGAGTTATATGGTAAGGTAATTATTCATGCATTTGAAGTGCTAAGCTATTCCTCTGTTTTTGCATTTATCATGAGCAGTAGTAAAAAAAAATGAGTTATATGGTAAGGTAAAAATAAAATAAATAATGATTATTTAATGGGAAAAAAATCAAACTAAAGGCAGTATTTTAAAAAAGGCAGTTGGCCTTAAATAAACTGACGTATAGGATCACAATCAGATGCAGGGACTAAATCACAGGCCAATCTCCCTCCGTGTCTGGGTTAAGAGAATTTAGGAGGTTACCACAGCAGAATACCAAATTGGAGACACCCCAATACCTGAAAAAATTGAAACAACTTCATTAAAAGGTCAAATTTACTTGGGATTTTTTGAACTCAGGTGTAATACTAAAAGTAGACAGGCTGAAAGAGGGAAAGTCACAGATATCGTTACAGAGGAATATTTGCAATATAATACTTATGCCTGATACATCACACTCTCTTATGGGGATGTCACCGTCACCTTACGGGTGTCCATCACTTTGTCAGCAGAAAAATGTTTTTCCTTTTCGTGCAGAAACCATAAATTGCTGGCATTGGGCAGAGAGTAACTCAGGAAGCAGCTGACTGGGGACCCTGAGGAGGCTTTCTATGAGAGCTTAAGCAAACCAGGGGCATATATATCCCATAACTGCCAGCAAGACAAAGGCTGCTTCTAAACCTCTGGTTTCTACAATTCTTCTACCAAAACGGCTTTTCCCTTTCGGCTCTTCTCTGGAGGATCTTTGAAATTGGAATTTGTAAAGCCAATGTTGGGGTGAGGAGATGGAGGACAGGAAGAGGAAGCAAACAGTGCCTTCCAGGGATCCATGGGACCCAGCCATGATCCTGAACATGTATTTCACTGGGACCAAACACCTCCCAGTTTCTGGAAGGAAGGCAGGGTGAAGAGGCAGACTTTGAAGCAGGAAGACTCCATTCCAATCCTGCTTCTACTGCTTACCATTGTATGGTCTTGGGCATACCTTTGATGTCAATTTTCTTATTCATAAAGTGTTTTGTTTTACGGATTAGAATTAATGAATATAAAGTGACTGGTATGTAGTCGTGATCAATAAACGTAATGCATCTGGCAATGTGGACCGCAAGATCCAGAGTCAGCAATGCCTGTTCCCCCCTTTTGTCCTTGATTCCAAGATTCCACTCAGCACACAAAGCTGATGCTCACACTGGAAATGGCTATACTGGCTTCTGCAGCACCTTCTTCACTTTCATGGCTTAGCATCAAATGGCAGCTACTGCCAGTTCCATTGCCTCAGGGTACATGGAGAAAGTCACTGGCAGAGATGCAACCACTCAGGAGCAAGCACCTGAGCTGTGGTCCTCAGGCTCCTTTTCCCCCACCCATTTTACTGCCAGTTCCATTGCCTCAGGGTACATGGAGAAAGTCACTGGCAGAGATGAGGTACAGAGGTCAGCAACCACTCAGGAGCAAGCACCTGAGCTGTGGTCCTCAGGCTCCTTTTCCCCCACCCATTTGCAGGCCATTCCCAACAGCAACCAAGGTTTCTGGGCCCACAGTACCCCCTGATGGCAGATGGGAGGAACTTTCCTTTCCAGCTATTCCTGTTTTCTAGTGAAACCCTCCTTTCTATTACAGGTCACTGCTTTGTTCATTTCATCATAGAATGTTCATTCCTCACAAATTTTGTGTAGCTTCCCTGCCTTGCTTATTTATTTATTTTTTTCCTGCTCAGTTATTTTCAGGAACATCTACTTCCCTCACTCTTTCTATTCCTCAATTTGTTCCATTTATGAATCCTCAAATTCCTGCAATTATGGTTGATAAGAATAATAGTAGGATGAGTGATTTTATCTATCAAGAGAAAAGCCCCACACATTTAGAAGTAAAATAAAACATAGTGTAGAACCAGCAGCATTTATCTCTAAAGCCCTTTGAGACATCCAGATGTCTTCTGCAGAACCTGCACACAGGAAGTCATCTACCCCCTCGTCTTTCTTCAAGTAACAATGACCGTTTCTCGACATTATTTTCCTATTTATTTAATTGCCAAAATTGTACTAGTTTGTCCCCTACTATTTCACTGCAAATATAATTCAACTACAATAAGGGTTAAGTGCATTCCTGTGGGATGTTCTGGAAACCAATGCATAGCCTTTCAGCGTCAGTTTTCTATGTGAAAATGAATTCAAAGCTTCAAACAATTGCTTTAAAATGAACTTTGGAAAATATCACCTATTGCAATGTAACATTGGGAATTTTGGGGTGTGAGTGGTCAATTGTTACAAATTCCTACTGATGTCTGGATTGTCTGGTTTTTATCGATTGAAACATGACATCTACTGGAATAAGTGCTAACAGTGGTTTTCAGGTGTAACTTATCTGGGCATACATGGGTTCTTCCTTTATTAAAGGAAAAATATACTAACCAGATCCTGATTTAATGTTACAGAAATGTTCTAGAAGGTTATTAAATTTATTTCCATGACTATAGATTGCTTCTTGATGAAAACACATCAAACATGTCTCAAAATATAAACGCTTATTTTCCTTAATGTAAATTAAAATAATACTAATGATTTGTGTCTTTATCTGTCAAGGTCTGAGATGAAAATACTTTTTAAAATCCAAATTATTTGGGCATAAGTTATTAAAATAGCATTAATTTTGTGCTTAATTCTTCCAATTTAGGAAGTTTATTCTTAAACTAGAGATTAGTATCTAGAAGGCAAATCAAGTCCTGTTAAAACAACTAGAGGATTTCTGTCACAAATTAACATTAAAAGTGTTAATTTTTCCAGTTGCTTATACTTAAATTTAAAAGTAAAAGCTTATAAAAATTGGTATGGAATAACTGAATTATTTAATAAAGCAGTATACAAGCTATTGTGACCAAATATACACAGGCATGAAAAACATAATTTTAAAATGCTTTTATAAAATACTTTCCTAATTTGGTCATATTTCAAGGTAATGCTTGCACTGGACTTTTTTCCTGAAAATAATTTCCATATTTATAGAACTGAAATTATATTCTACTTTAACATAAAAGACACAAATTAATTAAAGTAACAGGTCAATACCACCCAGCCAATTTTATCAAAATTCTGTGAAACTGGATATTCTAAATAAATTCTAAATGCACACTATTATAACAATAAAAAATAAAAAGAATTCAAGAGTGATGTCATGAAATAGTTGTATGGTGCAAAAGGTATTTTAATTTTAAGTGATTGTTCATCAGAAATGGTGATTTGACCTGACATACTCACATTTTTCTGGAAAGAGATATTTGCTTTCCAATAATATATACCTTTTGAATTCATAAACTTTTGGTGCTACAAATTAAAACATTCAGTGTTAATGTTTTTGAAAGCATTACGTTTAAATTATTTTCTCAGGACCCAAAGAGAAAACACCAGAGGAAACATAACCAGACTGAATTGTTTAAAACGTATTTTCCCTTTAATTAAATAAGAAACATCTGTCTAGGGATTTTGGAAATGAATGTAATCCATCCACACTCTGCCTGTACTAGTTTGCATCCAATATCCAATATTTTGAAAGAAAATTCTTTCTTTCTGTAAAGAATTAAACAGCAACATGGAGTGATGTCTGGGTTTGCAGCAGCTAAGTCTTGCCTCCGGAGTTTGGGCACTGGAAACTAAGGATCTCTTTTTTCCCCAGATCTGTCCTTGGGAAGCAACCACGTTCTTTCCATAGTCAAGGTTGGGATGTAGCTTTTTTGTTTCTGCAAAGCATACACTCACCCTGAAAATGCCCATCTTGGGACAGTAAGGAAAGAGAAGATACTGCGATGTATCCAAGCACTAAAGGTCAAGATATTGTTTCTTCTTTAGGGTTCACTAAAACATTTTCCTCGCCTTCCCTTAGGGTTGAAAAAGCTGGTTTCTCTAGAGACCTGCACAGCCCACAACACAGACACATCAGACAAGCGAAATGAGTACAAAGAAAGGGAGAAGTTGACTCCAGGATGGCTGTGGTTCTTTCTGTCAAACCAGGGCGCACAGCTCAGAATGACAAGTATCACTTACTGGTGTTGTCAAACGGTATCTGCTGGCACTGCACAGACCCCTCCGCGGGCCAAGGACAATAATAGACGGCTCCCCCTTCCACGATATCCGGCTGGCTGGTGTTGGCTTTGGGCGCCCCCACCAAGACACTCGCTCTGCGAAGGGGTTGAAGAAAGTCACTACTCCCTGGGAATCAAAAAGTGTGCGCATGCAACGCAGTCTGCAGTGACATGCCCCCTGAGACTGGCGTAGGGGTGGAGGGCAGAGCCTATTTATGATGGGCACTGACTGTCAAACTTGACTTCCTCTTGGAAACTTTTGGGCATCAGAAACCTGGTTTGAAAGAGGGTGCAAATAGTCCTAACTCTTCTCTAGGTGGAGCTATGTGTATACAGTGAGATGAAAGCGAGAAAAAAAAAAGCAAAGGACAGAGCCCAGCTGCTTGTAGCCGACAGCACTTGCGCCCAGACACTTAGCTTCTGGCGATGTATAAACAGACCCTGTTGTGGTCGTCTTTTTAACTGGCTTGGGTCTGCTGGCTCCCGGTCTCTCCTTTGTATGATGCACGAGTCCAGGACTCGCGTGTTCACCGCAAGTGGCATGTCTCTAGTGCAAAGTTCACAGGCACATCTAGCGTGCAACGGGAGAGAGAGGCTGGTGGTGGGACTCCGAGTGGGCAGCGGAACGGAATCTCAGGCACCGCTGTCCACAGGGCTGCGGGGACCGGCGCGCGGTCGGCTGAAGAGGGGCAGGGACCCGACCTGCGAGCGGGATGGGCCACGCGCGCCACCTCCCCCGGCCGAGCCACTTACGTGCGAGCATCAGGTACGTGGAAGTCCACCGCGTAGCCGAAGTAGCTGCCCTCGGGGCCGCTGTACACCGTGAACTTGTCCACGTCCAAGTTGAACGCCTGCGAGGCGGGGAGCCACAGCATCCCCAGGGCGGCGGACAAGCGCCAGAAGCGCCCGAGCCGCGGCGCCTGGCTCCCGCGGGGACCGCGG